AAGAAGAAGAAGAAGAAGAAGAAGAAGAAGAAGAAGAAGAAGAAGAAGAAGAAGAAGAAGAAGAAGAAAAAAAAAAAACAAAAAACTGGACAGCCATTTGTCCGAAATGGTGGTGTTTCCTGCCTGAGCAAGGGGTTGGACTAGATGACCGCCAAGGTCCCTTTCAACTTTATTACTATTATTATTATTATTATTATTATTATTATTATTATTATTATTATTATTATTATTATTATTATTATTATTATTATTATTATTATGAGACTGGACAGCCATTTGTCCGAAATGGGATAGGATTTCCTGCCTGAGCAGGGGGTTGGACTAGATGACCTCCAAGGTCCCTTCCAACTTTTGATGATGATGATGATGATGATGATGATGATGATGATGATGATGATACCGGACAGCCATTTGTCTGAAATGGTCTGGGGTTTCCTACCTGAGCAGGAGGTTGGACTAGATGACCTCCAAGGTCCCTTTCAACTTTATTACTATTATTATTATTATTATTATTATTATTATTATTATTATTATTATTATTATTATTATTATTATTATTAAGAGACTGGACAGCCATTTGTCCAAAATGGTGTAGGGTTTCCTGCCTGAGCAGGGGGTTGGACTAGATGACCTCCAGGGTCCCTTCCAACTTTACTACTACTACTACTACTACTACTACTACTACTACTACTACTATTATTATTATCATCATCATCCTGTTTCCCACCCACCCCTCCTTGCGGGAGGCGTAGTAGCAGAGAAGATCCGGGCGCGCCCACGTACATTTGGGGAGCTTCCGCTCCTTGGCGTGTTTCCGCAGGTACTCCTTCGGCGTGGGCACCTGGAGCTTCGGGATGCCCATGGTCTGGCATGGCGCCCTCCTCGTCTCCTCCATTTCCCGTTGGAGAGACGGTCGGAAGGAGGAGACGTACCTTCGGCGGAGAAGAAAGGAGACGGGGAGTTCTAGTCCCACCTTAGGCACGAAAGCCGGCTGGGTGACTTTGGTCCAATCACCAGGCGACGGTGAGTTCTAGTTCTGCCTTAGGCATGAAAGCCGGCTGGATGACATTTGGGCCCATCACCAGGCGACGGTGAGTTCTAGTCCCGCCTTAGGCTTGAAAGCCAGCTGGGTGACTTTGGGCCAATCGCCAGGCGACGGTGAGTTCTAGTCCCGCCTTAGGCATGGAAGCCGGCTGGGTGACTTTGGTCCAATCACCAGGCGACGGGGAGTTCTAGTCCCGCCTTAGGCACGAAAGCCGGCTGGATGACATTTGGGCCAATCGCCAGGCGACGGTGAGTTCTAGTCCCGCCTTAGGCTTGAAAGCCAGCTGGGTGACTTTGTCCCAATCGCCAGGCGACGGTGAGTTCTAGTCCCGCCTTAGGC